AATTCTGCGAAAGTGACTTAGTTTCCCTTCACCATTTGAGTATACGAGATGGAGGTTACGACAGCCTGGAGTCACACTACTACTGGGTTGGCTTTAAGGTTGTGGGCCTTCCGTAACTGGTCGCAGCAAGCTTAAGGTCAATTTGGATAGAAGACTGTCGCTATAATTGCAAGGGGAATAATTCTGTTCTGTAACCTAATGTTACTGTCTTCTACAAAAAAGGGTTTTTCATGTACAAATCCAAAACCTTAAAATAAAGCAAGATGTTTCATTCACCATTCCCCTCGTCCTCAACATTCCTCATTGGCCTCAGTCGCCTTGACATTGAGAAACGGAGAAAAAAATTATTATCCCTAAAGGATATCAAAGTTCCTAGTTTTTCGTGCCCACATTACCAGAAAAATGGGTTTTTGGGGTTATGGAATCTAGATTGTACTAATATGGATATTCGTAACCTCGATAATTTATGGGGGGGCGGGGGAGAATTAGTAAATATTCAGAACACCTTCACACCAAATATTGGTAAACTTTTACAATGCTTTGTCCAGCATGCACACATACCGTTGAATGACAACTGTCAAATTTCATCCCTTAGGGTAACACACCACACAAAAACCAAACAAAGCAAATGTACAAAAGAGAGAGAGAGAGAGAGAGAGAGAGAGAGAGAGAGAGAGAGAGAGAGAGAGAGAGAGAGAGAGAGAGAGAGAGAGAGAGAGAGAGAGAGAGAGAGAGAGAGAGACACACACACACACACACACAGACACAGACAGAAGCAAAGACCCTTTCCATGTCCTCACCCTCGGCCCTCCTCTTGACTTCGGTTGCCTGCGCCTCGTGAATCTCCTGCAGAAGGGCTGCCCTCTGCTCTTCTGTCAGCGAGGATACAAACTCGCCCATGGACTCCAGGGGCAAGATGATTCTTCCTCGACTTCCTTCCGCCCTCGAATCGCTTTCCGAAGGAGAGGAAGAAAGAGGAAGAGGAGGAGGAGGTGGATGGATGGAAGAGGAGAGGCGCCCGCCGCCCTCCTCCTCGCCTCCTTCGACGGCCTCTACGGCCTTCTCCTTGATCCTCTCCGCATCTCCCGACGTCCTAGATGTCCACAGGGTCCTTCGGGAGGAGCATGCCGCCCCTGTGTCCCTGCCGAGCACCAGGGAGCCCAGGCGAGCCCAGCAGGAGAGGGGCAGCGCGACCCTTGCTCGTCCCAGCACCATTTGGTGGACGCCGCTGCAGCCGACGCAACACCTGGGCCCTCCCCGTCTCCCTCCCCGTCTCCCTCCCCTCCTCTATCCCTGGGCCTTCCCTTCCCCGTCGCCCTGTTCCTCCCCCCTCGCCCTCTCCTCCTAGGCTCCATGGGCCCTCCTCGAGCCCTCCCCTCCTCGGCTCCTCCCCTCCTCCCCTTGCCCCCTTCCCTGCGCCCCCTTCCAAGGCCAACCCCTCGCCCCTCCCCTGCTCTGCTCCCATGGCCCAACCCCCTACCCCTCCCTTGTTCCTGTACCCACGGACGTCCCTCCCTCTCCCCAAGCCCCCTTCCCCCCTGCCCCTGCACCTACGGACGTCCCTTCGCTCCCTCCTCCCCTGCCCCTGTACCCATGGACTTCCTTCCCTCCCTCTCCCCCAGTTTCCACATCTTGACCCTCCCCTCTCCCCTCTCCCCTCTCCCCTCTCCCCTCTCCCCTCCCCCGTTCCCGAACCCACGGCCCTGCCCTAACCCCCACCCGCCTCCGCCCCCGCACCCATGATTCACCCCTCCCCCCCTCGCCCACCCTGCCAGCTTCTTGGTATTTCCTCGGTATCTTTTCTCTCCTATATTCTACCTGCGAGCCCCTCCCCTCCCCCTCACTTCTTTCTCTCCATGTGTTCCTTCTGCTACCTCCCCCCACCTCCTTTCCTTTTTTCCCCTCCCTCTGCTCCTACCTGGTACCCCTTCCTTCTATTTCCCTCCTCTATTCAAACCAGGTACCCCACCCCCCCTCCCCCACTTCCTCTTCCCTCCTCCCTTCTTTCCCTCCTGCTCATGCTGGGTATCCTCACCCTCTTCCCAACTCCCCCCCCCTCCTTCTGTTCTTACAGGATTCCTCCCCCTCCCCTTTTTTCCTCCTCTTCCTACTTGCTGCCCCCCCCCCATCTTTCCCTATCTCTTCTCCTATCTGGTAACTCCTTTCCCTCTTTCCCTCCTCTCCATACCTGCTACCCTCCCCCCCCCAATCTTTTCCTATCTCTTCTCCTACCTGGTAACCCCCTTCTCTCTTTCCCTATCTCTTCTCCTACTTGGTATCTCCCCTAACCACTCTTTCCTTCACTGTACTTTTATCTGGTATCCCCAGCCCCCCCCCCCCCCTCCAGCTCTTTTCCCTCCCTCTGCTCCTATCTGCTAGTCCCACCCCACCCCCTTCCTTTCTTTTCCTCCCTCTCCTCCCACCCCACACACCCCACACCTTCTTGTCCTGCCTCTTTTCTTACCTCTCCTCTCTCTCTCCTCTCTTCCCTACCTTCTTCTCTTCCGCTTCGTATACCCTCCCGTCCCCCCTTCCCCTCTCTTTACTCTTATCTGGTTCTTCCTCCCCTTCCCCTCTTTCAGACAGACAACGATAGATAGAGGGGAGAAAGAAGGAGAGAGAGAGAGAGAGACAGAGAGAGAGAGAGACAGAGAGAGAGAGAGAGAGAGACAGAGACAGAGAGAGAGAGAGAGAGAGAGAGAGAGAGAGAGAGAGAGAGAGAGAGAGAGAGAGAGAGAGAGAGAGAGAGAGAGAGAGAGAGAGATGGAGAGAGAGAGAGGGGAGACTGAGTCAGCGCAGTAACCCCCCCCCCCCCATGTGTGTTTAGTCTGTGTAAAATATTCCTCTGCCTTCCCAAATCTACACAATTTGTGCATTTTGAAAATCACTTTCATCTTTGGAAATCTGATTAGAGAGACAGACAGACACACAGACACAGAGAAGGGACAAGCAACAGAGACAAAGACAGAGACAAAGAGACAACGACAACAATGTAAAGCATGATACCGACAACTCAAAATAAACTTAAAAGTACAATTCAAGACAGTAATGGCATACCAACTTCTCTTAAAATACGTTCTCTAGGCCTTTGAACAGTTTCCCAGCGCTGGCGGAGTAATGAATTTGTTTGGATATATTATTGAGGATTTTTATCGTCATTAGCATTGTCATTATTAGCGATAATATTGTAGATTGGTATTATTGTTGTATGAGAGATAAAATATATTCTATAGTATTTCTAGTTTTAAGGCGTCATGTATAGTAAGTTAGTTCCTGTGGATAAAAAGGATAAAAAAGTTTCACGATAAGAAATATTCTAATAAAGATAAATACAGCGATAATGTAACATGGAAAAAAAAATCTACCTGCATATGATAGAATAATTTTCTTCAATAATATTAGTTCTTTTTACATCATTCAGTTCTGAAGCTACATCCTGATTCCTCATTGGCTAAAAATGGATGAAAGAGAGAAGAGAGAGAGAGAGAGAGAGAGAGAGAGAGAGAGAGAGAGAGAGAGAGAGAGAGAGAGAGAGAGAGAGAGAGAGAGAGAGAGAGAGGGGGGGGGGGGCGTTTATTGATATGGTATGTGCTCGTTTATATAATATACATACATACACATACATACATCGTGCAGTCATAACCACACACATGCTCACGCTCACTCACAGACAAGCATGCAATTGAAAACTTATGTATTTGTGTTCTGCTTCCTCTTTTATTCTTCTTGCCTCTCCCTTCCCCAATTTATTTCACCCTCTCCTACTTTGACCTTCCCTCCGCCTCCAGTGCCTGCATTATCTTCATTCTTCCCCTTCTCTTGTCTCTCTTTCCCTCCCTGCCATTCTCTCTCTCTTCTCTCTCTCTCTCTCTCTCTTCTCTCTCTCTCTCTCTCTCTCTCTCTCTCTCTCTCTCTCTCTCTCTCTCTCTCTCTCTCTCTCTCTCTCTCTCTCTCTCTCTCTCTCTCTCTCTCTCTCTCTCTCTCTTTTTCTTAATCTTTCTCTCTCTCTCTCTCTTTTTCTCTACGTTTCCCAGTTTCCTCGTTCTTCTACCCTCTCTTTCTCTCGTTTTCTCTTTCCATTTCCCCGCCATCCATTTCCTCCTCCCCCTTCTCTGCCTTTCCTTGTCCTTCCCCCCCCCCCCCCATCCTTCGTCCGTTTTGTTCTTGTTTTTTTTTTCTCCATCCTTCGAGAGAAGAGAGAGAAGGATGTGGAACGAGTGGGAAGAGAGGAGAGTTTCTCTCTCTCTCTATCTCTCTCTCTCTCTCTCTCTCTCTCTCTCTCTCTCTCTCTCTCTCTCTCTCTCTCTCTCTCTCTCTCTCTCTCTCTCTCTCTCTCTCTCTCTCGTTCTCTTTCTCCTTCATCTCTTCCCCTTCTTTCCATATCCGTCTATCCCTCTCTCACTCTCTCTCATTCCGTTGCGCAGACCCGTTCTGTACGCGTCCACACCAAGTCCCTTGACTTGCAATATTCTCAAGCGTTCCCATTCGTTGCATGGTTGAAAAAAGTGACTTCACTAACCGTCACTCAATTGCTTGGTTAAATTTGCGTCCGTTTTGTTCTTGTTTTATTTTTCTTATTTATTTTTACATATTTTTTATTATATTTCCTCATGTTATACATTTCAGTGGTTTCATTGTGTGTGTGTGTGTGTGTGTGTGTGTGTGTGTGTGTGTGTGTGTGTGTGTGTGTGTGTGTGTGTGTGTGTGTGTGTGTGTGTATGTGTGTGTGTGTGTGTGTGTGTGTGTGTGTGTGTGTGTGTGTGTGTGTGTGTGTGTGTGTGTGTGTATGTGTGTGTGTGTGTGTGTGTGTGTTTGCAGGTGTGTTATTTCACATACTTTCGGCATTTGAGGTGCTTGTATTATTATTATGATGATGGTAATAATATCAGTATCCTCGTCAACGGTAATGATAATAAATTCATGTTACTATTATGATGATTGTTATTGTAACTGTCATTATTGCTTCTGTTATTAGCATTATTATATTGTTATTAGACTCATATCCTCCTTATTGTTATCAGAAATCAATTATAACCACATGATAAGTCAAATGATAGAAATGATAACAATGAGAAGAGAAAGATAGAAAAAGAATACACAAATGATAGATGCAATGAGACAGAGAGAGCTTGAAAAGAAACAAGAGAAATAAAACTTGTAAAGCAATGTTGCAACTATACAGTCAGGAGTCACGTAGAGGAGAAGAAAACCCCTCAGTTGACAGTCAGTTGTTATAGTGAAAAGACCTCCTTAACAGGAAGCTAAGATTTTCCTAAAATCTCTTACGGAAATTGGCATTGAAAGTTCTCAGCCAGTCTTACATTGTGTAAGGTAATAATAAAAGTGTACAGGTATTTGTTATTTTTTGTTAATTGTTGAAAGAGTGGATGAGCCAAGCCAAGCTCGTTTTCTATTGTTATCTGTTGGATTTTGATATCATTTGATGCCCGTTATTAACAAAGGTATTATTTTTTTCATAATGCTTTTAAAATAGAATTGACAGTTGAGATCAACTTAATTCCTTTGAAGTCTGTAAAATATGTGAACCAGAAAGTAAAAACCAAACCAATAATTTTCTGTTATTAATAAAGAATTTAGCAAGAGAACCTCTACTTAATAATTATTATGGAAACTTATGCTTATACAGAGACTGGAGTGATTATTTGGAAGAAAAAACAAATATATATATATATATAATGGTGACGAAATAAATGATAATGCCTTTGCCCAAACTTCATTTACTATCCTCCTCCTCCTTCTCCATCTCCTTCTTCTTCTTCTTCTTCTCCTTCTTCTTCTTCTTCTTCTTCTTCTTCTTCTTCTTCTTCTTCTTCCTTTTCTTTATCATCTGATGCGATTTAATTAGTTGCATGTGTGTGTATGCGCTTACGACAACGTGCGTGTGTTTTCCTTCTTCTCTTCTCCCCCTCTATCATTACCATCTTCGTCTTCCTTTTCTTTGTCTTCCTCTTCTTTTTATTATCTCTCTCTCTCTCTCCCTCTTTCTCTTCCTCATTTCTCTTACTTTTTTTCTTCTCCCTTCTTTCTTTTCTTATATAATTTTCTTTCTTTTCTTTTCTTCTTCGTGATGATAATAACAGTGATAATGACAGAGGTAATGATAGCAATGATAATGATAAAAACAGTATGCGGTCATCATAATAAAGTAATTATAATGATAATAATATTAATAATAATGATAATAATAATAATAGTAATAATAGTTATGATAATGATATTGATGATAATAATCGAAGTGATATGAATGATAACAATGATAATGCAATAATAATAAGGAGACTAACGATAACGCTAATGATAATAATAATAACAATGATAACGATAATGATAGTAATTATAACAATAATAAGAACTACAACAATTATAATAGTAATGGTAATGATAATGATAATATAAATGATAATAATTAGGGATACTGATAACGATGATAATAAGAATGATGATTTTAAGAATAATGATGATTGCAATGATGATAATAAAAGTAGCAGTAGTAATGGTAATAATAAGATATTGGTGATCGTATTAATAACAAATGTAACAATAAGAAAAAATACGACAATAGAACTGATAACGGTGGTGATAATGAAAGTGAAATAATAATGTTAATAGATGATGTTAATAGCAACCATAACAGTGATTGTAATAGTAATGAAAGTAATAATAATGATGATAATAAAGACAATTAGGTTTGTGATAACATATTATCATGGTAATAACAATGTGATAATCATGATAATATCAATTATCATGAAAATAACAATAACAAGTGCGGAGGAAGAACACACAAAAAACTTGAAGAATAATGTGTGCAGTTGCATGCTTGTTCATTCGATGTGATGACACTTTCGTGTCAGTAACGCTTGGGTTGCAATACACATCTTACTGCTTGAAAGAATATGGCGTTACCGGATACACACACACGTGCACGCGCAGACGCACGCACCCACAGGCATACACATAAACACACATGTATACATAAATTCACAGTATATGATTATATATTACACAAACGCACTCGCGCCCCTAAAGGCACGGCCACAAATACAGACAAATTAACGAATATTTATAATCTTACTGATACATTTATCTGTATTCTGCGGCCGCCCCCTGACCTCCCTCCCGCCCGCAGCACAGCATGGCGACGGCGGCGACCATGGAGCCCGGCATGAGCCTGCTGGTGACGGCGGAGGCCCTCGTCATGAGCCTGGCCTTCATGAACGGCTTCGTGGCCAACGTGATGGCCATCGTGGCCGCGGCCTTCTCGCCGCACCTCCGCCACACCAGGGTCTACATCATCAACCGCGCCGTCGCCGATATCCTCTTCCTCTTGCCGGTTCCCCTGGACGTGGCGTCGCACCTGCAGGACTCGTGGGTGTTCAGCCCCGTCCTGTGCAAGCTGCGCTGCGCCCTGGCCTTCCCCGGCCTGCTGGCCAGCTCCTCCTTGCTGGTGGGCCTGGCCCTGGAGGTCTACGTGTCCCT